CCCCCCCCCCCCTCCTCCAATTAAATTTACTCAACTGAAATTACACAAACATCGATCATTTATATTTGCCTTGTTCTACTCTATTTAAAATTCTTACATAAGATAACCTAAAAATAACCCTAATTCATTTGATCTTATTTTTTAGGACGTGTTGAGGTTTAAATAAATGGAAGACGAGGAGGAATGTTTTCTATTCTGTAATGAGTGAATCTCCCCACGGGGTTCCTGAGTTTTCAGGTTCCCAACAACAATTCCACTCCTTCTCAGAGGCTACCCACCCAAATGGATTTCCATTCCAGCAGTTTCCCATGCAACATGGAACTGTTGTCAGCCAAGGGCAAGCTCCTATGGGTCAGTACCCCCACCCAGCAGCAGCGCACCACACCTATCTTCAGAATAATGGGCCAGGACCACCCTTTCATGCCAATAACAGCATGCAGCAAATGCAAAATCAGTTTACCCCAAGGCCACAAATCCCCTCTGGATATCCTTTACATGCATTGCCTGGTAACTCAGGAACATTCAATCAACCTGGAGGTACCAGTCAACAGTCTCAGTCTACCAGTGAACCCCATAGTCATCATGTAAACCCTTTTACCAGTGAAAATAATCAGTTTGTCTCTAATCCTCCAATTTTATTCTCTAGTTCTCCAATGAATCTCCAAGCTGGAGAAGATGGAATGCCTAGACAAATGGTTCTAAATGGACCTCCCCCTTTTATGAACAATCCTGTTCTACATCCAGCTAGTCAATTTCATAATGGTGCTTATTTAGAAAATAATCAGAATTTCATCAGCACAAATACAACACCACTTTTACCCCATTCTAATTCAGTTGCAACAACTTCTAACAGTGGGACGATTGTTAACCAATCTCATTTTTCCACTCAGGAATCTATGGGAAATCTTGTTTCAACAAGTGGATTTGTCAGAACAAGTTCTGGAGATATTCACCAGAGAAACCATGAATCTCAAACACAGTACACATTCCAAGCTTTGCAACCTCAACTTTTGAGGCCTCAATGGCAATCTGGAACACCAAATATGGAACCAAACAATATAGCCCAGGCAAAACAGTTGAAAGAAAGAATGCCTAATCCTTATACAATATCAAATCCCAGTTCTGTAGAAAGTAAAAGACCTGCTTTTAACGAATCTAACTACAACAGGACTTTATTCCCTGTTCGATACCCTCAAAGAATGGAAGGTCCAGTCCGATTTCCACCACATGGTCCTCCATATCCAAATAACCAAATTCCATTAAGACCTCAATTAAATCCTTATCAACTGAACATTAACCAAAGAAATCAGATCACTTCAGGATCTCCACATCCATTCCAAATGTCGGTAGTTAGGGGACCTTCTGCTTCAGGAAACTTTGACAAACCTGAAAATCCAAGTGGTCTATATGGTTCAGAGAGCAGAGGACAGAATGTTCATCATCCGAACACCATGGTCTTTCAAGGTAATCCCACAAGTCTACAACATCAATCTAATCTAGTTCAAGATGGTAACATGATTGCTATAACATCTCAAGATAATTCTAATTCTAATGGAAACAATGAACAGATGCCTTTTCCACATGTCTTGATTACATCACAGGATCCTATTACGGGACCTCATTATGTAAAAGATATGAATCCTCAAACCAGTGTCTCACTCCGATATCATGAAGGAGTTCAATTACCAAGACAAATACATCCTAACTATTCTACAAATCAAACAGGACAAAGGTTTTCAGGATCTCAAATGATGCAACATTTTCCTACAGGAACAGAGAATACAAACCAGGCGCAACATGGTCCTCCTCAAAGATTTCCCCATGCTCCTCTGCCTCCCGGTGTTCCTGTTGGTAACTTTCCGCAAAATATGGGACAACACATCAGGATGCCTTTCCCTAACTCTCATCAGAATGGGAGAATTCAATTAGATGGATCCCCGAATGGAGAGATATCTGGACCAACTCCTGTGCAGAGCTCTACTCTTCAGCAGATATCCCCTCAAATGAGGTTAGTTAGACATCCCCAGGGGCAAATACCTCCACATAGTGCTTATTCAATGCCTAACTATCATCCCAGGCAACCAATGCTACCTCAAGTCGGACCAAATTCATTTGCTCCTGATTCCAGTCAAAGGAATCCAAATATCATGCAAGGAGCGAGTATGGCTGTTCCTTTGCAGCAAGTGCCACCAATACCTGGCAAACTTCCCATACCATCACTGTCCACACCTTCAGATATTCCAATGGTTTCTCAGGGAAATCTGGCAAGTGTGGCTTTCCAACTTCCCACAAAACCTGGTCTTCAGTTTATGTCCAGCGGTACATATGTATCACCGAGAATGGTCGGATCATCAGGGGTAATAACTTCTGGTGGGGTTATGATGACTGGTATTAGTCCACAGGCGGTTGAAAAAGTTCTGGTGCCATGGGGCTGGAAGAGGATTTTCATGAATGATGCCATTGTTTATTTCAGGTATAATATTCAACTTTTTTCGCCATCCTAGACACTGGACAGGGTAAAATCTTTCATTTTAAAGTTTCCAGTTATTGGATAAACCTTCAAAGTCTTGTTAAATGTATTTTTAATTTTAATTCCCAACTCAAAATAACATCTTTGACAAATCTCACCTCTAAGTAAATATACTAAGAAAATTAACAGTGCTTACTTTTTAACAATCCAATTTTATTTACTGCAAATTATTCATGTTTAAATTTCTATTTTTACTGAAAGGCCCCCCCCCCCGCTGGAAAAATTATTACCTAATTATTGTTGTTCTAGTCCTAGTGGGATCCAACTACGGAGCTTGTCGGAGGTTAAAGATTATCTATTGACGGAGGGAACCTGTAAGTGTGGTCTTGAATGTCCTCTCCGAATAGAAACTAGTTTTGACTTCAGTACACAGGTAAATTTATCCCACCAAAAAAAATCAAGAAAATGTGTACACTTGAAGCAAAAAATGCGGCCTGGCGTTATCGGTTTGTAAGGTAAAAAACAAAACTTAGACTACATGTGTTCATAGAATTTAAATTTTAACGGGCGTGGTGTATGTTATTACTTCGAATGAAGTAAGTTAGTTTTTCTTGTCCGGATTTCTGTTTTAATCTTTAAGAAACTCTAATAAAGAATATTTTAAGTTGTGTTTTTTTTGTGAAGAATATTCAAACTGAAATGTATTTGTTACCCTTTTTTCTTATTTGCTGGGATAACATGTTCTTCTTTTATCTCATTCATTTCACACATTTTTTACTTTTTCGCTCCGTTTTTATTTCTCTTCCCTGTTTGGTCAAATTTTGTTTTGATTATGGAGATTAGAATATTCATCCCTGCTTTTCAATTAAAATAAAAAAACATATTTTTTATCAGAAATGTTTTTAGAAATTGTTTGAAATGGTTGTACCACCAGCCCCCAGTAGTGGGGGCAATTGTAAACACGGCAGCAGTACATCAACATTGGCGCAACTGCAGAATAGTACAGGGCTTTCCATTCGGCATGTACACAGTCCTGTACTGCAAACTAAAGGTAAACAAGAAATATTTTAAAAAATTTGCTATTTGTTGAATAAAGTCCTTGAATTTCTTTTAATAATTGTTAAACCAATGAAGCTTGTGAGACAAGGCCGCTTATGGAAAACTAGCCTATCTAGTAGCCACTGAAGTAGTAGCTGGTAGTATAGAGCAGTGGCCTGGCCAGAGGGCCATAGGAAATTTTAAAAAGAAAACTTTAGTCGTATTTAATACCAGGCTGTAGATACAGGCTTCGGTAGTTTGAGCTTCACGGCTCGGCTACAGCCACTCGGGCATAACAGTATCATTGCACATGTCATGCGAACTTGTGTTATTGGGGAGTCTAGATAGATCGATAGATAGATTGATTGATTGATTGATTGATTGATTGATTGATTGATTGATTGATTGATTGGCCAGGGGTACAGAATACAGGTGGTCCCCAAATTTGATTTATATATCTGATTTAAAGACTGATAGATATGAATTAACATTTATTTTTAAAAATTTACATTTATGAACATTACTGTATTATTTTATCATTGTTTCACTCCTAAATCTTCAAATCAAAATCATGTGTTTTATATGTCATTCTACTGAAAAAAAAACGAAATTGAAAATATAAATCTTAAATTAATATTCATTTTGAATTAATTGTTGTCCGAAGTATAAGTGAAGCTAATTTGGTTTTTATCCGTGTACAGTATACACTGATGACGGTGACCAATAAAAAAGCATAACAATAATTGATTCCAGAGCGAAGTAGACAGTTTTTGAATCAGTGCTTAGGATCCATTTAATTTTGATGCGGATCAAAAAATTTTGTTCAATTTTTTTCCCGCTTATTTTTATCCTAGAACTTGATGAACCATTCAGAAATGAGGAAATTTTATATAATCACTCTTTTTTTTCAAAATTTCAGATTTGGGGTTTAGGAGTAAAAAAGTAGTTTTTGCAGTTTTTGGTTGATATTTTACCCCTTGGATCCGGATCCGGATCCGGATCCTAAGCACTGTTTTTTTTTCCATGGATACACTTCGGTGGGAAGGAACATCAACCCCTGAATGGAATGAATGAGCAATAACTAAAAATAATGATTCACAATGAACATATTTCAGATGGGAGGAAAGGAAAATCTAAGAAAAAGAAACCATTTGCTGGTGTTCTCGTCTCACAGATGCTAGCTGCAAGAGAGATGGAGAAACAGAGAATTAACCAGGTATAGCCGGATAATAACTTGATGATGGTTGGTTTGTGGGTTGCTTGGTTGCTTGGTTGCTTGGTAGTACGTTAGTAGTTTGGTCGGTTGGTAGTAGTTCAGTTGATTGGTTGGTTGTTGGTTAGTCGGTTAGTCGTCGGTTGGTTTTCAGTTTAGTTGGTTGTTTGGCTGTTTGTTTGTTTGGTTAATTGATTGATTGATCGATTGTTCAATTTTGACGTCTAATATAATCTTTGTTTTATTTGCACGTAAGATTTACAGATCTTTTATGAATACGATTTTACTGTTTATTCAGATTTCATGAAACTGGAAAAAAATATTTTTGGAGCTTTAGTAAGAAGTAGGTGCCTGGTATTTTTGTAAAATCGATCAAGATTTTTTTCTATTTTATCTTCGTTAAATGATTTACTTAAGCTTTAATTTTAGTAATCTGCTGATCATTTATTTTTTTATTTATTTATTTAGATAATTGCGCGTGAGAAAGCCGAACACGAAGCTGCTAAACAACAACAACAGCTAAATGAACAGCAGAAAAAACAACATCATCTTGATCAAGAACAGAAACAGCAGAAACAATCCCAGGCGCAGCCGAAAGTGTATGAACAGCAGCAGATGCGGATGCAGGCGCTCCAGGAGCAGTCTGAACAGGATAAACCTCAACGTCAGAACCAAGAGCAGCATAAACATTTTCAGCAGAAGCAACCTCATTTTCCACCACAACTTCAACATCAGCATCAACATCAAGATCAAGCTCAGATATACTTTCAACAACATTTTCCACATCAACATTTATCTCCTCACCCGAATATATACGTTAACGGAACAGTATCAACAATTTCTTCTCAAAATGCTGATAATTTGGGAGATGAAGAGCTTCGTCATCAGAATGAACAGCTCAGTCTTGAAGATGAACAGTATACACCTCATGATGAAGAGCAGCCTCCTGAAGAAGAGGAAGAGGAGGAAAATGAACATAGGGAGGAGGATGTTGGAGACAAAACAGATGCTGATGATTATACAGGAATGGACAATGATGAAGATGGTGATAATAAGGAGGACGATGATAATGATGATGACATTGAAAATGAGGATGATGATGATGATGATGATGATGATAATAATGATGATAATAATGATGATTATGATGATAATGATGATAATGATGATAATGATGATAATGATGATGAAAGGAGAAGTGAGGTATCAACTCCCCTAAGATCTGTACTGCCTGGCATGATTGCTCAGTCAGGATTAATGAATCTTGGTTCAGTTTCTCATATTCTCAGGTCTGATTCTAAACTTTCTTCCAGGGACTCTTCCAGGTAAATTCATGTATTCATTTATTCATTCATTCATTTATTCATTAATTCATTTATTCATTTATTCTTATATTCATTAATTCATTAATTCATTTGTTCATTTGTTCATTTGTTCATTTGTTCATTTGTTCATTTGTTCATTTGTTCATTTGTTCATTTGTTCATTTGTTCATTTGATCATTTGTTCATTTGTTCATTTGATCATTTGTTCATTTGTTCATTTGTTCATTTGTTCATTTGTTCATTTGTTCATTTGTTCATTTGTTTCTTCTTTGTTTTTTTTTTCATTTGTTCCTTTGTTTTGTTCATTTGTTTATTTGTTGTTTATTGTTTATTTGTTGTTTATTTTTTTCATTTTCGTTTGTGCGTTTATTTGTATATTCGTTTATATTTCGTTTGTTCACTTGTTCACTTGTTCACTTGTTCACTTGTTCACTTGTTCACTTGTTCATTTATTTTTTTGTTCATTCATCGACTCTCTTATTTCTTAACTTTTTAGTTATTTGTTTTTTCATTTACTCTTTTATTACTAGTTTATTCATAATTAATATTATCATTTTTTGTTTTTATACTTGTTAATTTATTTATACTTTTTTATTTGTTTATTTGTTTTTTTTTCATGGACGCTTTTAAAAAAATTTTAAAATTAATTAAAGATTTTCTTTAATTATTTACTTCTTTTTAATCATTCATTGCATTCGAGTTTAAGAAATTTATCAACTGATCGATAATTTTACTGTCAAATATCTTAATCTTTAATTTTTTATTTTGTTTAGACGTTCATCACTTGAGAGCACACCACAAGCTTCCCAAGAGAATCCACGCGCGTTTAGTTTAGCAGATGCGATGCAGGCTGCGCGCAGACTTAATATGGAGCAGGATAGGATCCAGCACAACGAGGAGGAAGATGAGGATGAGGAGAATGAGGGGGATGATGGAGATGATGGAGATGAGGGAGATGATGAAGGAGTGATGGATGAGGATGATGTTGAGAAAGAGGAAAATGAACCACTAAATCAGGAGGAGAGTATACCCGAGGAAGAAGAAGATGATGATGTTGATGAGCTGAAAGCTGAAGAGAAAAGGGTTGAAGATGCGAGGTCAGACCTTGCTAAAAATATTGAAATCAGACGTCTCTCATGCACTGAGGACGGAAATAAGGTTCTAGAACCAACATTCCATTCACCAGAGAAGGAGAAAAAGAAAAATCCGCTGGAAAAAATTCTCAGTTTTGTCTCCGGTATAGAACTTCCAATGAAGGATCGGGACGGTAATGGATCCAGGAGGAGTTCTCCAGCTCTCAGCGGAACCCCATCTCCCGTCCTTCCAAATCTAAAATCCCGGAAGAACCGTCAATACTCTACCCTTCCTCCCCTACCACACAGTCCTCCACCCTGGGTTCTCCGAGGACAACCTCCTCCCACCAGCAACTTTGTGTCTATGGATCCGATGAGAATTCAAAACCTTGCTCCACAAGTTCGTCCTCCGATAGCCAATCATCAGATGATACTAACTGCAGGGATGCAGTTTCAACCTCAACCCGTTCCCTCTCAGCTCCCCCAGCAGGTGATGCAGTTGATACAAACCGTGAACGGTCCCATGCTTATTCCTCTGGGCGCCCAACATATTCTCACCGATAGTTCTCTCCACCCACCCCAGCCTCAAGATGGATCGTCTCAAGTTTCTCCTCAATCTTCTTCAGGAGGCTCAAGTCAGAACTCTTCCCCTAAAGATAAAGAGAAAGTTAGGAAACGTAAAGCTGCTTCTGAACCTGTTCCTCCAGTTAATCACGTCCCGATCCTAATGTCACCTGGCGGGGGAATAATGAACTTCTCCTCTGGTGCGGTCAGCCAGGGGTCCCAGCTTGTAGCGATGAGCCAGTCGGGTGGAACAATGCTTCAACCTCAGCAGGTGATGACGCCGAACCTGATGATGAATCCTGGAGGCCAGCAGATGATCCTACAGAATGGAACATTGATGGCGCTCCAACCTCAGAGTATAATATACCAACAGCTCCCGGACGGAACCCTGCTCCAGGTCCAGAATCAGATACCAGTGCTCCAACAACAAAACCATCAGATCATCACAGCTCCGATAGTTCTCAATAACGGGGGAAATATAATGGGTGGTCCACAGTTTTTAATGACCCCTCAGGGTTTAATGCAAACTATATCTCATATTCCAACACAGGCAGTCTTAAGTCAGAGTAGTCCAACTCCGCCTAAGCGGATTCGGGAAACTGGGAGGCGAGGTGGAGCAAGAAAAAAGACCAAAAAGGAAATTTCTAAATCTATCGAGGCAATAACTGAGGAGAGAGACGAGCAGGACGGGATGGATCAGGGGAGTATGGACACAGATACGTCCTATGAGGACGCTTACGCATCTACAAGTACTAACTTTAGTCCTCGGTCCTCTATACAGAGTAACAAGGTTGATAGTTCAGGACTGAATGCAACTCCGCCCCACTACAGGGATCAGGAGAACCACGCCCATCGATCCCAGGAATTCCAGCCAGGTAAGGCAGAGTACCACGTCTACCAGGATCCCCAGGCTCAGTATAGTGATCTTGAGCAACTTAGGGAAGAGAGAGATGTTGAAGAGAGAAATCTTGATTTAGATTCTAGTCTCGCTAACTCCAGGATAGAAATAGATAATTCACTGAATTCTGATGAACCCCCGGTCCAAGCAGAAGAGGAAGGAGATAAAAGATTTGAAGAAGGAAAGGATGATGAAGAAAGACCGAAGACGGAAGAGCGAGAAGAAGAAAAAGTTTCATCTTCTATTAAGAAGAAGAAGAAAAGAAATGCTGACGACATTGTTACTGAACAACTGGAGATGGAAGGTAACTATTCTAATCCAGAATTAATATTATTTTAGTTTTATTGTCATCTAATTTTTAAATTTTAGTTTTCTAATCCGAAATGAACCTATTTTTCTATGAATTGTAAAATTTTGATCAATCTTAAGTTTTTTTTATTGAAGAATCAATCTTGAAATAGCAAAAAAATTCATTGAAGGGACTGTAGCTGTAATTTTAAATGAACCTCCATTTTACCTTTATCTCATCAAGGATCAATGTCCGAGATGATATGGTACCTTTAAAAGTTTCGTCTGTGAAGGAGCTGACCAGTTTCTCTTTTTCAAAACTGATTATTTTCTGTGGTTTCTCTTAAAAATGACTTAGGGATTCCTGCTTACAGAAATAATGGAGCTAATTGTTAGAGTTAAACAATTCAAGATAGAAATCTTCTACATGATTGATAAGATAAAGGTTTAAAGGGAACCATGCCGAATATTGAAATTAGAACGACAGTCACTTTAAGAAGCATAAAAAGTTTGTAAACAGATTTTTATTTAGAAGAAGATTCTGATTCCTTGAACTCGCCTCCTAGTTGCCAGGAGTTCCTAGACGGAGATATAGTCTGGGGACCCCTTCAGGGACACCCCTCCTGGCCAGGGAAGGTTGTAGGGGCGGGGCAGGAGGAGGGGCATCTTCTAGTTTGCTGGTATGGGGGTAGACAGCTAACACAGGTATATACAGAAATAGTATTCATGTAATGTATATTACTATCTTCGATTTTGTCCTTTAATTGTTGCTCTTGATTGTTTTCCGAAATTTTTTTTCATTAACCTTCTCATGGGGTCATGAGATGTTCCACAAGCAGGCAGACAAGTAAAGTATATATATAAAGGAGATAATTGAAAACTGACGAGTAAACTAGAATACAAATATATATCGGCTTTGAATTAATATTTATGAACTCTAGACTCCACCTTCCTCACATTTTCAGATTTAAACTTACTGCTGAAAGAGATAACTTTAAGATAATTAAAATATAGTGATCACACAGCCTTTTCATTTGGAAATCGAGGTGGACCAGACGTTACAATTTCAGAAATTATACATATATATATATCTATATATTTATTTATATAATTTATTATTCAATCAACTCCGCCAACATTAAATTCTTTTAATCTAGATATGATAATCAAGTAAAAAAATCTTATCTGTTCTAGTTTCTATTGTTAGGACTAAAGAAAACGAAAACAGAAAGGCCAAATAAAAAAATAAATAATGAAAGGGAAAAAATTGATCAAGAACTAAAATGTCCTTTATTTTTAAATCTGATGTACTAAATATTCGTAAACATTGATTTTAATATTTTCTGCATACTAATGTGATATATGCACCCTTATGAATATCATGACAATAATCTTAAGTTTTCTGATATACTCCGCCAGGAGTCGTGAATATTATCAAAACATAAACATAAACATAAACATAACTCCATTGGAATTTCTATAGAACTCTATAAAGAAAATAGAAAGAAAGACAAATGTTTAGGTGAGGTCTGAAGATCTAAAATATGTTTAGGTGAGGTCTGAAGATCTAAAAATATGTTTAGGTGAGGTCTGAAGATCTAAAAATATGTTTAGGTGAAGTCTGAAGATCTTAAAATATGTTTAAGTGAGGTCTGAAGATCTAAAATATGTTTAGGTGAGGTCTGAAGATCTAAAAATATGTTTAGGTGAGGTCTGAAGATATAAAATATGTTTGGATGAGGTCTGAAGATCAAAAAATATGTTTAGGTGAGGTCTGAAGATCTAAAATATGTTTAGGAGAGGTCTTGAAGATCTAAAAATATGTTTAGGTGAAGTCTGAAGATCTAAAATATGTTTAGGTGAGGTCTGAAGATCTAAAAATATGTTTAGGTGAGGTCTTTATTTAAACCTTCTAAAAAATTGTGACATTTAAAAAATACCGAATTACAGTTTATAATTAAATAAAAACTATTTTTTTCTGTTCATTCGTCTGAGTTTGGTTATAAAATCTCTAAAGTATTAATATATTGTGGAAACAAGTATAAAGAATTTGTGTTTTAATTCATTGGGCAAATTCTGATCGACGTTCAGTTGTAGAGGTTGTATCTAAATAATAATTCATCGGTGTCCGAATTCAATGAATTTCAGCCGCGTTAAAAATCCGCCAAAAACCGGTTTCAATTGAGCGCCGGCTTAAATCTTAAAAGGCCATTTATTAAAATTTCACTGGCGTCAGTTTTAAACTCGTTAACATAGAAGACATTTTGGAATACTCATATTACAAAGATTATTTCTTTCATATACAATTACCGTCCTACAAAGTGTTGTGTAAAAAGGAATTAAAGAATTATGTCGTCTTTATATCACGTGTATTTTTAGTTGTCGTTTTGTTAAAATAGTAATCAAGGTTTTGGGACTTCCAAAATGTGGCATATCGTTTATTTCATCGAAGATATATAAAGTGTTCTCCAGATCTGAATTGAATAAATTAAATATAAATTTCTGTCTGTTGAAATTCGAACTTGTAGACGTAATGCAAAAACTTCTGTTTTGCACCGGTTCAATCTGAAGAGAAGAGGTTGAACCTTGTCTACGCGGTTCAATCTGAACGAGAGAGGTTGAACCTTGGCTATGCTGTTCAATCTGAAGAGAAAAGGTTGAATCTTGTCTACGCTGTTCAATCTGAAGAGAAGAGGTTGAATCTTGTCTGCGGTTCAATCTGAAGAGAAGAGGTTGAATCTTGTTTTCGCGGTTCAATCCAAAGAGAAGAGGTTGAACCTTGTCTACGCTGTTTAATCTGAAGAGAAGAGGTTGAATCTTGTCTACGCGGTTCAATCCGAAGAGAAGTGGTTGAACCTTGTCTACGCTGTTCAATCTGAAGAGAAGAGGTTGAACCTTGTCTACGCGGTTCAATCTGAAGAGAAGAGGTTTAGTCTTGTCTACGCGGTTCAATCCAAAGAGAAGAGGTTGAACCTTGTCTACGCTGTTCAATCTGAAGAGAAGAGGTTGAACCTTGTCTACGCGGTTCAATCTGAAGAGAAGAGGTTGAACCTTGTCTACGCTGTTCAATCTGAAGAGAAGAGGTTGAACCTTGTCTACGCTGTTCAATCTGAAGAGAAGAGGTTGAACCTTGTCTACGCGGTTCAATCCGAAGAGAAGAGGTTGAACCTTGTCTACGCTGTTCAATCTGAAAAGAACTGGTTGAACCACGTTAACGCGGTTGAATGTGAAGAGAAGTGGTTGAACCACGTTTACGCGGTTGAATGTGAATAGAAGGGTTTAAACCACGTTTACGCGGTTCAATCTGAAAAGAAGTGGTTGAACCACGTCTGCACTGCTCAACCTTGTCTTGCTTTTATTAAATCTAGTTCTAATTAGATTCCTAAATTGTTTCCTTTAAACTTCTTTATTAATTTTGAGCTAAAATATATTAATTTCAGGGGGAGAAGAATGAATATACATCTGGAAAAGGCTATTCAAGAGGCAATGATGGAACTGGACTAATCCAAGATAGATTTACCCGATTCTGTGCTAAAGCCCATGATTCATGAAGTAAGCCGGCTACGGGGTTCTTTTATTATCGACGCTTAAAATTCATTTCTACCAAATGAAGGTTGACTAATTATTATTATTGGTCTTAACACTGAATAGGGAGACTATTAAAACTGTGGAATAGAAAGACGACTGTTAGACTCAACTCGTGATTTAAAATAGTCCAATAAACCTAAGACATTAATTGTGCAATTTCATTTCCATCAGAATTACACATTAGATGTATTTCTTCTACAGTTTTATGGATCCAAGTATTCAATTTAACCGGAAAGAAAAATATTAGTTATAAACTTAATATTGAACTAGATTAGAGCTATTGAAAGTTTCATTAAATACAGAATATTTTGTTTAAATTAAAATTTAGACTTTTTGCATGTTTTAGTGCGGAAATCGTTGTGAAATCTTTATTCTTTTATCTTATACATAGAATGTAAAATGAATTATGAAAATAGATAAAAATGTGATATTATGTAATATAAAAACATACTAATGCGTAAATACTTCTTAAATTTAATGTTACATATATGCATTATGCAATTTGCATTTATCTGCATTGTAATCCTTGTACATAATGTTGAATTGTAAATATTAAAAACAGAGAAAATATATATTTAGGCATCTATCATATTTTTCTTATCAAATATTTGTTTTTTAGATTTATCGATCATGTCCAACAAATGATGCGAATAGTTTTTTCAACTTTTATAAATCTGATTTTTTTTTAAATTAAATAAAACCATCTTTTCGAACTTTAATCCTATTAATAATCGCAACTTTGTGGGGGGATATTTTGGATTTTGTAGAAGAAAATAACTTTGATAATGTTATCAAAATGTTTCCCAGGTAAGACTTTTAATAAAAGCTTTGCGAATGTGAATTCATCGAGTCGTAATTTATTTTATACAATTTATAAAGTAATAATCTGGTTTTATCTCTTATCAAAACATTACCCCTGGGTGGATTTGCATCAATTTGATTTTGGAACTTGGTAAAATCATAGAAACATTCTTAGCTTGGTCTTAAAAATTTTGACGTGATTGACTTTTGTAGAAAAAAACTCGGACAAAGCTGAGTTTCAAAGTTAGTATGCAATCAAATACACGCGTACACGTTGATAAAACAAAATGTATTCACTTGTCTTAAGTAAAATATAGAGTTACTCACGACGGATGAAACTTCATGACACGAACTCTAGCGGCAAAAATATTACTAACATGCCAATTAAGTATGCAAGGCAGCCCAATACAGCAAACTATAAATTAACGATCACGCCAAAGCAATAACTGTACAACGGATCATCTAATTCCTAAATCTTTGCAGCCCAATGTCATATATAATAGATATTACAAACTATGAATTCTATTAGATCACATCAATAATCTAAGTTTAAAATATCAAAGTTTTACAGGCTCAATTTCTCTGCTGTCTCATCCTTCTTTGGGTAGCCCTGTAAACATTGTACAATGTACATAAATTTATTACATTTTTACATTGTTATAGATATTATTATTATAAATTATTAGATGTAGATACAGTAAATACAATGTGTGTTCTATTCTTCTTGAATATTTCTACATTTTCTTCAATTCCTTCCTCAGTATTTTACCCGCCAAGGATCTAAAAAATTTAATTTAAACTTTAACTTCTTGATCTGCATGTTTTAAAAACTTGTTTAAAATCATTTTGTAAAAATCCTTTAGTTTAATTTGTCTTGAAAACTAATCAAAATTTAAAAATGTCGTGGGTTAAAAAAAGATTATACTATACCTGGGAATGGTTTCAATGAAGACGACTCCTCCTTTCAGCTGTTTATAGGACGCCATGTTGTCCTAAAATGATAAATTATTGTGCTGCTGAATTCAAGCCTTACTCCTTTATTCTTTCCGCTAATAACTCCATCCCGAGAAACGAAAAAATCAGCAGAAGGCCTTAGAATTACTATGAACTCTTTAAAAATAACATTTAATTTATTAACCAGCATTAACAGTAATAATTGGTACTCCTAAATAGAAAGAAAGATACTATCAGATAGTATTATGAAATTAAGTAAAAATAAGATTAAGACATTTACTAATGGTACGGTACGCGAGCTAATGCCAATAATGTATTGCATTGCATGTATTACGATGGTTTTGACATAAAAGTGAACAATTCTCTGTAAAAACTCTTTGATGGGGTTTAAAAATGGTTCACCTCTGTATCCGCTCTTGGATAAGGTTACAAACAAGAACCACGATGCAGTGCAAGCTCTCACGTTTAAAATCGAGCAATTTTCACCCAATATATTACTCTTTTTAAACACAAGCCAGAAACATGCACGTTGCAATTTAAAAAATTTTGCTGCAAAAAAGTATGAGTAAGTTGGTTAGGTAAATTTAAAGGCCACTTTAAAGTTGAGACTGCATAAGAATTTGATGAACAAATTTCCGAGTTGTCTAGATATGATTGTACTCCGGCTAACCTTGATGTTGTCTAGATATGATTGTACTCCGGCTAACCTTAATAAAGTCCTGAATATCTTGAGGTGTTGGATTATATCCAGGTTTAACAACTATGAATGCTCGAGGTACTTCTCCATCCCCGTCCTCTTCGGCCTCCACACCAACCACGGCGCAGTCCGCTACAGCCTCGTGAGTAATCAGTGCATCCTCCAGCTCAGCCGGCGCTATCTGCCAACCCTGAACATCAAGTGGATGTCTCAGAGACTGTGGCTGATTCACAATGATACCATTAAAAGCTTTGTCTGATCAAGAAAGCATAACATTTATTAAAGTTTCCTTTATGTTTTAGCTCTATAAAGTAACTTACGGATTTGTATACTTTCTCAACAGAGAAGTTGTTCGAATTGAACACTTTTTAAGTGAGAAATGGACAAAATCTTCCACAATATTTATGAAAAGGTATTTTTTGAGAACTAACGCGAAATTTTGTCAAGACACGTAAATAAAGATGAAACTGTGAATAGAAAGAAACCCTAATATACAATCACTCTGCAATAAAAAATGGTTAAAAAACAGTATACAGTGATAACCAGAAAACTCTAGAATAGTAAGACGACTTTGAGAATCAGGTTTTAACTTTAAAAAGTTCAATGACCATGAAACACAACAATTGTGCAATGTAAACAGACCCATTTCACAATATAAGTGATTTAATAAGTGTCTAGTAAAACTATTTGCTTTGAAAAACAATCAAATACACTTAAGTATTGCTATAATGTCGTCTTCGCCATCCATTGTTTTCTGGTTATCCCTGTAGAATGTAGATGTTTCTTCAAAACTTACCCTCAACATAATTTACGACAGCACCCTTTTTAAACCTTAGTTGATCAAGACGATGAAATCCATGTTTTTTCGTCTGTAAATTAATTATTTTCAAACGTGGTTTCTCTGCAAAAGTTACTTTAGAATTTATGAAGCCAAGACAAAGAACGAAATTGTCAGAATTTGACACGTTTTATTTAAAAAACGCGACGGTATCATGCTTTTTTCTGAGAAACCGTTGTGAATCTAAAATGCCACTCTGTAAATGGAGGGTCAAATTAAATGTATAAAGTGGCGCTATTAGGAGATCTAATAATTCTTTTAAAATCTTATTTGAAAACATGGTGGTCACGCGGATTTTAAGGTTCGGTCCTTATCCCAGAGAACTGTGACTTTCGATTACAATTTTACCTAGTAAACATAATGTTTTCGCCTTTTCTCTTTAATACTTTTAAACGAAAAAGCATAAACAGAGAACTCCATGTAAGTTTAAAGATTGTTAAATTTTAGGCCAACACATGATTGAATTCAAAGAATTCAAATGCATCTCGTCCTGGAGTGGTTAGTCCGGGGTGATGTTCGCACATCTATATGTTTGTAAGCCAATGTGTTTAAGAATCTGTACCTACCTACCTTATACTTGATTAGTTCCTTCAGTCTTCCAGTAATGTAAAAATTCTCATTTTCATCATACATTCCTAGATCTCCTGTCAGCAACCATCCATCTTTATCTAGAATACGTTTTTTTCTTCACTCTATATAAAGCATATGAGTTTTTGGTTGTGACCGATTTTTTTTACAATATAACTTTTTATGTACGTACAGGAGGGCCAAATAAATACTGGAATTGAGTCACAAGTCGCGATCTCGAAATTGTCTTTTTAACAAGTTACCTGTGGTAGCTGCTGTAGCCCCTAGGTTTCCTAGTTTACCTATAGTAGCTGTTGTAGCCCCTGGTTTCCTAGTTTACCTATAGTAGCTACTGTGGCTCCTGGGTTTCCTAGTTTACCTATGGTAGCTGCTGTAGCCTCTATGTTTCCTAGTTTACCTATAGTAGCTGTTGTAGCCCCTATGTTTCCTAGTATACCTATAGTAGCTGTTGTAGCCCCTGGTTTTCTAGTTTACCTATAGTCGCTGCTGTAGCTCCTGGGTTTCCTAGTTTACCTATGGTAGCTGCTGTAGCCCCTATGTTTCCTAGTTTACTTATAGTAGCTGTTGTAGCCCCTGGTTTCCTAGTTTACCTATAGTAGCTGCTGTAGAAGAGAGAAGGATGTGGTCTCATCAGCAAGAAGGTATGCTCACTCAATCATGAGTTTAACAAGAGCTGGACTGGATAGATCAAGACTAGCCAGGATCTTGTGGGAAACATGCGGGATCCCAGCTATCCTCTATTGCTCGGAGGCTATGAGCTTTAACAGTAAAACGATAGAGTCCCTTGAGAAAATCCAGGGAGAGGTTGGGAATTTTATTCTCCAAGTCCCTCACTCAACTGCACGGGTATCCTCATGGACTGAGGCAGGACTAATGCCAATGAAGTTTAGAATATGGATGAGAAAGGCTAGGTATTACTGGAGAGCAGTAAACAAGAAAAAGGACCCAATTCTTACAGAATGTCTCAGAGTAGTACTGGAGAACCCAGAGGAGGATGAATGGGCCAGAGACATCAAGGAAATAGAAGATGCTATCAAATCAAACATTCCTGTTTTGTCACTATCTCAGCTACGCAAGAAAGTGAATGATGTGGCAATTGAAGCAGTCCTAGATGCTAAACAAGGTCTTCATTCACTACAGTCTCAACCACAACCAAGAGAGTGGTTCAAACTACCGGAACATGTAAATGACTGTAGACGCAGTAAAATCATAAGCATGGCCAGGTCTGGCAACTTACAGTTAGGGAACCGGATGAGAAACAAGTATGGAAATCAGTGGAAAACATGCCCAATCTGTAGTACAAACGGCAGGTATGTTAAGCTGAATGAACCCCACGTACTGCTTGAGTGCCCGGTAACAACAATTGAGAGGAAAGACTGTGGAATAGCTGAATACGAAGAGAAGTACCCGGGAATGGCCACCAAGTACATCCTTAGACAGTACCTGGGACAGGATGGATGCAATAGAATGGAACTTCTAAAACGGGCAAGAAGCATCCATTTGATGGCAGAGAAATGGATGGACCTGACTAAACATATGTGAGGTGAGAATTGAATAAATCGTTAAACAAATCAAGGAAATAATAGCAATATTAGAACATAAAATGTCAGATGAAAGATATAAAGTTGTTGACTTTAAAAGTCAATATGATAAAATAAAAGAGATCTAACGGTATTTCTAATCTTTATTTATAAAAAAACAAAAGGTTATGAAATATTTTCCCGAGTGGGGCTTAAATTGGCTGGTATAGAAATTAATAAAGAAACTATAGACGAATATCGGTTGGAAAGAGTTTGTAGAGCTTCATGATGGTGGTGCAGATCATCAATCTTGACGGCAGGATTTGGCAGGCTTACTTACAATCAGGCTTAGTCTCAGGGAGAGAGATTGCGGACTTATCCTGTATACAGGATAATGGAAGGACGTCTGATATCCGCCCGGATCTCTGGAACATTGTGGAGCCCGGAAGCTAGGTGTAAGCAGTGTCTTCTGCACTTAGTTCTGTATCTGAATCATCATCACAAAGGAGCCAGGGTGGAGTTGTGGATGTCTTGAGTGTATGTGGCTGACTGCCGGGTGGAGCGGGAGCTAAGGTGAGCGGGGATTTGACACATGTGGTGTGCTTGCTTCCTGTGTACACACACATTTAGAGAATTAACGTCGGCATTTGAGTCGGAAAAATCGTCTTCCTTATATTTCGAATTTGTTTTAACAAAAGTAGTTATTTAAATTGATAGCTGAAAATAGACGGGGAATAAACGTTCCATAATAGTGGGGAATTGTCATAAGCCAGACAAAGATAATGCAATCATTAAAGACCATGCTGATTTTACATAGAAACAAACCATCCCTTGCACAGGGCATGTTGCCCAGTTAGGGGTGGGTGGGTTGGTGGATGTCAACCTTGGGGCTCGGTCTACTCAGGTTCCCGATAATCCCAACACCCGGTACGCTTACATCCAGGGTTCAATAATAGAACATGCCCTAGGCGGTTTACAAACAGACGACTCCAGACGTGATTGTACACGTATCGTGAGGGGAAGTACTGATGGGTGTGGCTTCACACGGGGATTAAAATCCCCCAGAAGTTTTGTTTAATAATAATAATAAGCTCCTGGGTTTCCTAGTTTACCTATGGTAGCTGCTGTAGCCCCTGGGTTTCCTAGTTTACCTATGGTAGCTGCTGTAGCCGCTGGGTTTCCTAGTTTACCTATAGTAGCTGCTGTAGCCCTAGGGTTTCCTAGTTTACCTATGGTAGCTGGTGTAGCCCTGGTTATCCTAGTTTACCTATGGTAGCTACTGTAGCCCCTGGGTTTCCTATAGTAGCTGCTTTGGCCCCTGGGTTTCCTAGTTTACCTATGGTAATTGTTGTAGCCCCTGGGTTTCCTAGTTTACTTATAGTAGCTGCTGTAGCCCCTGGGTTTCCTAGTTTACCTATAGTAGCTGCTGTAACCCCTGGGTTTCCTAGTTTACCTATGGAAGCTGATGTAGCCCCTGGGTTTCCTAGTTTACCTATGGTAATTGTTGTAGCCCCTGGGTTTCCTAGTTTACCTATGGTAGCTGCTGTAGTCCCTGGGTTTCCTAGTTTACCTATGGTAGCTGTTGTAACCCCTGGTTTTCCTAGTTTACCTATGGTAGCTGCTGTAGCCCCTGGGTTTCCAAGATATCCCTTCATAACAGTTCCTCCCCGAACAGCTAACTCACCCTCTCTAATATTTATCATTAAAGGGAGAGTGCTTAATTTTTATCTTGATAAGATCATAACAATACCCGAGTAAAATACATTATTTAAAGTAAATTTTGTTCTGAAATTTCTACAGTTTTTTAGAATCACTTCTGGGACAAGATTTAAATAGTAACGAAAATTAGTTGAAGCGTCTAGACGTAGTTGAACCACTTCTCTTGTGTTTTAAAAAAAATCGGTTCAACTAAATTTATTATTATTATTAGTAGTAGTAGTATTAGTATTATTATTATTATTATTATTATTATATAAATGTGACCTATTAGGTCCTAAGGGTTCTCTATTCTCTATATCTAGAACCCGAACCTCTAGTCCAGGTAAAACCTAAAAATCAAGAGTATCAAAAAACATTTTGAAAACAAACAAATTAGATGACGACTTTAACTTTTTGATCTACGCGGCATTATTTCGTTAACACAATAATAGAACATGTCCAGGTATAACAATCTTTTAGGTTGGGGATTTCTAAAGTGTGGTGTGCTCTTGTTTTGTACCTTAAAAATTGACGGAGATATTTAGAAATGTATCCATATTTCGATGGATTGAATGGATATGAAAATCAAGATTGACTAAAGGTCAAATATCTCCACTAATTCAAAAAATTAGATTAGTAGCTCTACCTTATATCTGAAACCTTAAAAGACAGGACCATATTAAAATACACTTTTTATGATGCACTCTTTAACAGTTATTAATAGTTATAATTCAGAGAATAGCTGGATATCAATGGTGTCTCTGAATCTCAATGTTTGTGAAGAGACTCAGAATTAAACGTCAAAATACTTCATACTTAATATAAAAATAAGCTTTTAAACTTTTAAGAAAAGTTTTGATTTTGTTCATTCTATCAATTTTGATTTTTTTAGAAATCAAGATTCTTTTACAAAAATCAAAAATCTTTTACAGAAATTAGAAATCCTTTTAAAAAATCTAAAAACTTTCTATTGAAATTAAGAATCCTTAAGAAAATATAGAATACTTTTACAGAAACTAAAAACTCTTCTAAAGAAATAAAAGAATACGTAAAAATATGACACTTTGATGAGGGTTTGTTTACTATAGGGTCCAGAAACTTATGAAAATGGAAGACGACAATAATCATCTTTACCTCTCCAACACTTCCCTTCTTCATACTGTCGACTGATGCTGAGGGCCGGGGACAGATCGCTGCAGCACAGAACTCAGACATACCCCAACCATTCCTACAATATAACCTTTCCTACAATAAAATCATTCCTACAATATAACCATTCCTACAATATAACCATTCCTACAATATAACAATTCATACAATATAACAATTCGTATAGTATAATAATTCCTACAATACAACCATTCCAACAATACAACCATTCCTACAATAAAATCAAACCAAATATCATTCTACAACCATTCCTACAATACAGCCATTCCGGCTCAGTACCATCAGATATAATTACAAAATATATAATTACAAAATATATATTTACAAAGTATATAATAACAGAACATAAAATAACAAAACATAATAAGCTACAAAATATGTAAGTTATAAAACATATAAATTACAAAACATATAAGTTAGAAAATATATAAGTTACAAAAGATATAAATTACGAAAGAACTAATTACAAAATCTATAAAAGAAGAAAATTACCGACAGTTTGTTCATGTGAACATTTCATTAGACTATTTTTTATGTTCATTTGAACTACTAAACGCAACGCTCGGCCCAGAAAGTGTCTTAACCCGGCCCTCCTAACCTTACAATTATAATACATACATTTGAACTATTTTTATGTTCATTTTAACAAGACATTGTATTATTTCAGGGTTAGGTTAGGTTAAGATAGTTTCTGGACCGAGCACTGCGGTCAGGACAGGCTAGGGGGCCGAGCGTTGCGGCTTTGAGTTTAAAATAACATAAAAATAGTTCAGCTGAAGCGTAATTGAACTATTTTCTGGTTCATTTGAACTATTTTTGTGTATAAATACAATGGAATATAAGCTAATTAGAACATTTTTTATATTTTGTAACATTTGCCTTTGTAACATTTGCCTTTGCATTTGTAACATTGTTTAATTATATCTTTTGTACTTTATATATTATGTTATTTATATCTTTTGTAATGATATCTTATGTTACTGAGCCGCCTAAAACAATTACTATAGTTTAACCAAGAACTTCAGAGATATCGAAAGAATTTATAAAATGTCGTCTTCTTAAATTACTGATAATGCTGCAGATATTTAGTTTTTTAATTGAATAATTATACAGTGATAGCCAGAAAACTCTGAAATAGGATGAAGACTTGTAAACTAAAGTAAGGACTTAAACTAGTTCAATGCACATTAGACATAGCAGTTGTACAGTGTAAAAAGACCCTTTTCACTTAAATTGTGCGTTGCTAAGTTACTAGTAAAAGTATTTGCTTTGTAAAAACATCAAAACACTTAAGTATTGCAAAAATATCGTCTTTCTATTCTATTGTTTTCTGGTTATCACTGTATAGAGCTATTTTAAATTTGTTTTCTCATTTTCATGGCTAATTTTTCATTTTGACAGTTACTGAGAATTGATATAAAAGTATAAAACCCATTAAAAATTGTCAATACGACATTTTATAAATTCCTTCTTAAAATAATCAAACCTAATTTAATTCCCCGGCCATTACTACAATACAACCAAACCAAATATCATATCGCAGCCATTTTGAAAATATTACTAACGTATTAAATCAAACGTTATTTCAATTATTAAGAAAGTTTGCTGGGAACTTAATTGTTTTAGTATACTTTATATCAAAGTTTATGTCTGAAACCTACAGTGAGACCCAATAAACTATGGAACAGGAAGATACCATTAAAGCAATCTTTATTAACCCATTTTAAATCATAATACTGTATATATCTTCTTTAAATTAATTTCCAATTGATTAAGTTTGAATATTTACCTCACACAATCTACATTAAGTCTGTTTGACACCAATTTCTAAAAAATATATAAAAATAAAATTATATTTTTTTAATGAGTGCTTGTAAAATTGAATGTAATCAAAATTAAAGTAAGCAATTAAATTTGTCTTGTAAAATACTAGCTTGGGAACCCGGCGCTGCCAAGGTCACTAAAAGTTACTCCATCCGTTTACCCGCACTTGAACGATTTTACAGTCGACTCACACAATTTAGAAACTCAAAACTAAGCTAATAACATTTCCGTGGGTCTCCCAAGTCTCCAATCAAAACTTGAGGCAAATCGGTCAGGAGGTTTCTGCGTTATGATCGGACAAACAAACAGACAAACAGAGATTACAACTTTATATATATATAGATATAATGATAACAATTATAATAATAATAATAATAATAATAATAGCTGATCAACCCTCATTTTGTGGAATTAAAAGGAAAAAATTAAGATTGCAAATGATTTTTCTTAATGTTTTTTGAAGGCAAAATAAAACTGTTTAAATCAAACGTTTATAAAACTTATTTCAAATTTATGATATTACCTTTAGCTGAGAACTGAGGGGGGCAGCAGCACATAAAACCTAAAAATGTTAAAAAACCCTAAAAATATTTTAATCGAAAAATGTGCTCTACATTAAGTTGCTAAATGTATTTGTAAATAGGGTTTCCATTCACTTTAATTATAAAAACTAATACTTAAAACGTATAGTTAATAGGACTAAATCCTAAAATGGCAGGATTGGATAGGACAAAACATCCCGTTCGACACTGCTATGGTCGGCAGCTCCTGGCTCATCATGGCTAACAACAGGCTCATCAAATAACAATTAAAAACTCCGTTTCTCCTTCAAAAACCTTCATCTTCTCAAAAAACTTTCCTTCATCTTCTCAAATAACTTTCCTAAAATGATCATCCTAGGTTTGTGGTGTCTCAGGCTTTATTGGATTATAGAAATGATTATAAGAAGGAGAAAGGTTAGCTTTAAACAATAAAAAGTAGTTTAAAAATTGAGCCATTAAAAATCACATTGCTGCGATAGTTGTATGAATCAGTTCTGGAGCGGATTTGGCCTGGCCTGGGCGAACCCACCTGTAAAAACACAGTTTAGAATTAAAGAAGAATAAAAATCTAATGAAAACAAATTTTTAAATTGCGCAAAAATAGCGCAAAACACCTCTGGCTTATCTGAACAAATTCAAAAATGTATTGGTAGGACAACAAATTATTTCCAGTGCATCTGTTCTAATGGACATCAGAAGAATAATTCACATTTTGTTCATCATCATTCTGCATAAACTTACCGAATTAACAATAGATGTGCATTTTTTCAAAGGCTAATTTATGATAATTAACAATATTTAATTATTATTTAAATAAATTTTTAACAAAAATTGGCAAAACCTTCTCGATATTGAATAAAAAGTTTTTGCGCATAGAACGTCATTTCGGAAACAATATTCACAGAAAAATGTTCGAAACATAATTTGAAAAGCAGAAAAATGCTATTTTAGAGCTGTCCTGCAGATATCTTCTTTTCTTTATGTTTTCCTTTTTCTTGCTTTTTTCTTTAGAAATCCACAAGATCCTTTCTTTGAAAGATTATAAAGGAATCGAGTTTTTGCCACAAACGCAAATTTTTTAATCCTTATATCTTTGCAACTCGATGTCGAAGATCAAATATCAAAGGTTTACACCATCTGGTTGCAAAGATATCGGGATCCGAGTTTGTGTTAAAAACACAATTCCTAGTGAATTGAAAAAACGAGAATATAAAATACTATTTTTAAAATCTAAAATTACAGTTTAAAGGATCGACACCACTGTGAATAATTAGTAGCCCTTTTTAAAGTATAAGGGTTATCGTGCACCCTCACGTTTTTAAAAAGAATCTAATAAAACTTCCAAAACTGTATTATATGTCAAAGTTTTGCAAAGTTTTTTATTAAACTTTGCGATATCTTTAACCTAAAAAAAAATAACGATTTAGAAACGATCGTTAAACTTCGACACGTTCGTTTTTGCATCTTTTTTTGCATAGTTTTTTGCATATTTCTTCTGAAAACAAAGCAAAATAAAATTGAAAACAAATGCTCTTTATAGACTTTGCAAAATTTTGACCTGAAAAAAATACAGAGAAAAAACTGCCTGAATTGGTACATCACAATCTGACTTAGAGAGTTTATTGAATACAACTATACCGTTTCTATAGATTTCAGATCGTATTCATCCACCATTGGATGTTTAGCCAGAACAGCAGCTATAGGCGGTACAATCGGTACATGAGTTATACCATAGTTCTATTCACATCTATTTAGCAACTAATTTGATGAATTATCAATATCTTAAAATTGATCATAAAATCGACAGAAGCCCAAAGGAGTTACGCGCATGCTGCGTTGAATTACAAGACAGAGAGCGCGTTTTCTAGCCGCGGCGCTCCGCCCCCTATAGCCTGTCCTAGTTGCAGAGCAGCCCCCCTTGTCTGTCATAGCCGCAGCACTCGGCCCAGAACGTGTGTTAACCAACCCTAACCCTAAAATATATACTATTGTTGACTTTAAAAGTCACTATAGTAAAATAAAGAGATCTAAAAATGGATATTTCTAACATTTATTTAAAAACGAGAGTTTTAAAATATTTGCACTTAAGGCGGAGTTGAGATTGGTTGATTTAGAAATTAACAAAGGAATAAATGATGAGTATTTGGGGGTACTTCATGGGAGGGATGTAGAGCTTCATGTTGGTGGAGCAGATCAACAGGAGCGTTGCGCTGAGTATCTGCGTCATCATCATAAAGGAGTCACGGGGGTGATGTAGAGCTTCATGTTGGTGGAGCAGATCAACAGGAGCGTTGCGCTGAGTATCTGCGTCATCATCATAAAGGAGTCAAGAGGCTCCCTGTGTCGGAGCTGTTACTGGCTTAACTCTCTAAACCTGACTGAGCTGGGATGTGTTATAGAGGGGTGAGGCGGGAAACGGATGAGCGGGGTTTGACATGTGGGTGCTACATGGAGGAAATGGATAAACACGTCTTGAGAAAAGGCTACGGCATTTGAGTCGGTAAAATCGTCTTCCTTATATTTCGAATTTGTTTTAACAACTATATCTCTCTCTTTCTTGTAATTCAACGCGGCAACGGTAAGCGCGCGTAACTCCTTTAAGCACCTGTTATAAACTAAAATCTGGTTGCTTTTAAATCTTAATCTCAATCTTAAACAAACAAACAAACAAAAAATCAACCATCATTCCGTAGAAGTCAGGGCTGAGACCTCATCAAAAATAGCCACATTGGCTATTAATGTACCAATTGGTGACACACTGTCTAGTGTGGCCAACTGTCGAAGTACAGACCAATGACTAAAGTCACCGCCCAACTGCACACTAACAGTCCCCCAGAGTAGTCCATCTCGGTACTACCCCAGTATGAAGTTAATAAAAAGTTTATTAGATTATTATTTGATAATGGTTTAACATAAGATATAAGATAAGATTTAGGATTGTTTGACAAAAAAACCCACCTTGAGAGCTCTCGCCCTACAGACCATCTTCATGACTATTAACCAGCCATGACTCCAACAACACTGCCATTTTCCTCCCTCTTTCAAGTAAGACTACTTGGTCTGACCCATCCCCCCCAAGATAAGCCCTGAGAATCTGCCATAGAGGTTTCTTACCATGAGCGACATAGGTCGAGTGAAAATCTGCAATCCCGAAATCCCTACGCTGTGCCGCTACGCATGGGCAGATAAGGACCACGTGAGACTCTACCAGCCTGGCACGGACCCCTTTTGAGAGACACCATGGGCACAAAACATGGGTACAGCCGTACCTATCTTTGTATCTGTTACCTAGCTCTGCGTTACCAGCCCGAACTCTGCACAGAGTCCTACTCGCTCTGGAATCATTCACGAAACCCTGAAGTCGGAACCACTTCCACGGCTGGGAGGCTGCAACGGCAGAGGAATGGCCTCTTTTGGTTGAAACCACAAATCTCACAGCTCTATCTGACATTGCTTTCTGTAACTCTTTCCTGCTTTTGAACATTGCAATGGACCCAACATCCTTCTGAATCTCCATCCAGGATTTCACCCATGGGTCTGTAGGATGGTCTAGCAGTTCCCGTAGCACCTCCATTAGGAGGCTATTGAGCTTGGATTTCAGAATACTCCAGATGAACAAAGCTTGTCTGGTCTGAATTCTGTGTGCCATAGGCATGAGGCCCGCATCCATCCAGGTGAGCACCTTAGAGGATGAGTGAGGTATCTGCAGGATAAACCTACCTACCATGCATTGTAGTCTATCTAGCTCTACAATAGTAGCTTTCTTAAGAGTCACAGCCTCCACACAGTACAGGATTGAAGGGATGGTGCACGACTCCCAGAGTCTCTTGGCAACCATGGCCCTATCAAGAATCCCCCTTGATATGTTCATAATGGCATAAGCATAATTAGTGGCCTTCCGGATCATGTCCTTTTCATACCCCCCTATCATAGATCTGCCACGTACCTGGAAAGTCACCCCTAAATACTTGGCCACTAAAATCTCTTCAATAGTGACGTTATCTACCTTCCAGGAGGTCTCATTCGGGGCATTGGTAAGGATGTAAGTCTTAGAGGTGGCAAGCTTCATGCGCATGTCCGTGCAGAATCTTGAGACAATTCTAAGAAGCTTATTCATTCCTCTTTTAGGGGTTCTAGATAGCAATAGCAGGTCATCCGCGAAAAAGATAGCTGTTATCATAGCTTTCCCTAGCTTAACTCCGAGCTTAGAACTGTCCAGAGCTAGCCCTAGGGAGGCAATATAAAGTGCAAACAGTAAAGGGGAGAGGCTGCACCCTTGCTTAACCCCTTGGGTGAAAAACAACGGTTCTGACAACCCATGTGCTAAGTTAATCCGCACACAGTCATTGAAGTACATAGACCGAATAAGGGACACTACCCTTCCTCCAAAGCCAATACTTCTAAGCTTTGTGTAGAGTAGCTCTCGGCAAACTGAGTCATAAGCTTTCGCAATATCACAGAAAGCTAAAGAGATAGACTGGTGCTTCCTTTTTGCCTTGCGCAAGGCAGCCAGTATCATAAACACACAGTCGACCGTTGACTTTCTACTTCTGAAACCATACTGAACCGGTCCATAGAAGCCTTCCCTTTCACAGATGGAATCCATTCGCTTCTGGACTATTTTGGTGACCATACTAAGCATCACACTTGAAACTGTGATGGGTCGTTTCTTAGCCACATCTAGCGACGGTTCTTTTTTGTCAATAAGGGTCATTTTACCCACTAGAAGGGAAGATGGAACCTTACCCTCCACCAGGGACTCATTCACTACCTCAGTCAATTTCCCTATAAAAGATATGCTCGCACTTTTTAACATAGTGGGTGTGACATTATCTATACCAGGAGCCCTGTCGATCTTAAGGGATTTGATTACCTCCATGACATCTGCCACACCAACAGGTTGGCAGACCTCATCCTGATATTCAAACTCATCCCGCTCCTTTGGACACCATTTCTCAAAAGCGCACTCATTCTTTACTGAAATTTCCTTCAATAATTGTTGACCTCGAGAAATAAAGATTTTTGAGGTTTGACCCAAGGGAACCTTGGCCATCTCCGTCACCACAGTGTCTTTTAATTGCAGAAACTCAGTAATTAGTTTCCCATCGCAATCATTGATAGCTGAAAGCAGCCCTTTCTTCTTCTCAACTCTTCTCACAAGATTCCAAAACTGCTTATCTATATTTGACTTTTTAGACCTTAGTGTCCTCCTCTTATCAAGTTTAATCTCCAACTCTTTCTTCCTAATCTCCTCACTAAGGTCGTTACATTCTACAGCTGCGGCCACCAATTGCTCATGTTCTTGAGCTGACAATTTCTCATTTATAAGTTTCTTTTTTGCCCTGATCAAAGGGATGGTTCTCGAATATAGTATATGTAAGTTCCTTGCAACAATATGTTATTGTTGTATATGTAAGTTCCTTGCAACAATATATTATGCTAAATAATATTCCTGAATGGCTGCCAAGAGCGTGTCCAGCTGGAACCTAATCAATTAATCAATTAATCAATCAATTAATTAATTAATTAATCGAGGAATCACAGAATCAAGGAATCAAGGAATCACAGAATCAAGGAATCACAGAATCACGGAATCAAGGAATCATGGAATCAAGGAATCACTGAACCAAGGAATCACAGAATCAAGGAATCAAGGAATCACGGAATCAAGGAATCAAGGAAACAAGGAATCACGGAATCGGGGAATCACGGAATCAAGGAATCACGTAATCAAGGAATCAAGGAATCAAGGAATCATGGAATCATGGAATCAAGGAATCAAGGAATCAAGGAATCAAGGAATCAAGGAATCACGGAATCACGGAATCAAGGAATCACGGAATCACGGAATCGAGGAATCACGGAATCAAGGAATCATGGAATCAAGGAATCATGGAATCAAGGAATCACGGAATCAAGGAATCAAGGAATCATGGAATCA